CTAATCGTCACATTAAGCCCGTCAGTGACAAACAGAAACTAAAAATACTCTTAAGCATTGTTTAGGCCTCAGCCTCAAACATCTTCTTCCTCCCATCCATGCCGGATTTGTCTTCAATGTTTTTGCGCCAGTCGCCGACATCACGGAGCTCTTTGTCCTAAAACACAACCAAAAAAGAGAGCCAGGTTAGGTGCTTTAATTAAACAGTGTCAGAGAATAATCTCAGCCTCATACACCAAGTTAGAGTCTAATATGACTCTAACTTAAATAGCAACGACATTAAATGTCGTTGCTATTTAATGAAATTTGATTAAATGTTGTATAAGTGACAAAATGTTAGAAATCTAAAAAATATAGCATCAAATGATAAATGCACATTGATAAATATTACTGGCTGCTGCTTTTGAGACAACAACAAACACATTTATAAAATATGCATCCAACCAGGTCCTCACCTCGTCCTTCACCTCCTTCTTGACCTGCTTCAGGTTGGCTCTCAGGTCCAGGTTAACTGTGTGTTTGGAGCCTAGCAGAGCTTTCAGCATGGCGTCTGCAGACATGCGTACTTTTTTCAGCACGGGCTTCTTAAACTTGCCCATCAGGTCCTGGACTTTAATCTTCAGGTCATCGATCTGGAAAAGAAGATTACAGAGACCATGATGAAAGTTCTTCAGCATGGAATTTGATCCAAAGCACTGGATATTCCAGTTTTATTTAATCATCAGAACATTAAAGTGTCGGGTGAAAAAAAGTAGAAGGTTTGCCATCTGGGCAGCGGTGCTGTGTTTTACATAATTTTATTCACACTCCCTAAATCTGACATGACATCCTTCTGCTGATGGAAGACTTCACCATCAACCGATACCTTAGTTTAAATGTTCAAGCAAAGCACAGCCCGAGCTTCTGATGATGGACGCACGGCAGGTTCCGCAGGGTTATATTCTACCTCTTTGTTGGCTTTGTTGACTTTCATCTCCAGGTCGTATCGCTCCTCATCGATCCCGTCGATCTTGCGGTGGATCTCCTTGCACAGATCCTGAGCACAGATGCAAAAGCCATTGTTACACATGCACTGCAACTATGAACTTTTCCAGACGTTACCCAACAGAGATGCATATTAGAACGCAAATGCTGGACATGAAATGGTCATTAACGAGCCAGGTCGCTAGTCTGTGTGACATCCTCAGCACAAGTGTTGGTGTTCTTTTGTGACGTGCCTGCAGCTCCTGCATGGTCCTGGGCATGGACACAGGAGGACAGGTCTCAGCTATGTACCTCCTCTTTGCCTCCTCTCGCTCTCTTTCTTCCTCCTCCAGTATACCTTTAGCGATGGACAGCATCAAACTCTTCAAAAAAAATAACGTACATGTCACATCGCGTGTACATGCAGATTGCAAATAGTTCCGATTGCAAAAGAGCTTTTACCTTCAGCTGATGCTTACGACTTGATGACACTTTTTTCCTAAAAGAAAATCAATCCGTTTGTCATAAGCAAACTTCAAAATTCAAAATCAGCTTAGATAAATCGTTTGTTTTTTTTACTTCAAAATGTTTAAGAACTTTTTCAGACTTGTGTAAAAACAAGACAGAAGTACTCACCCCGACATCTTGGTGTTTGTTTGGGTTCAAAACCCTGCAGAAAAACATTAGGGGGAAGGGGAAAGAATGGTTAATTATTAGGAAATAACTGTGAAGTCATGGGCTAACAGAAAGATTGGGAAGGAAGGCAGGTTAAAGTGGGGTCAGACTGAGAAACAGTTCAAGAATGCTTCTATTGAAAAGAATAACTCCACTTAGGAGAAACACGACACCGACTTGAGGAAAAACCTCTAGGCTAAATTAGGATCAGGATTTTGGGTCTGTTGTCCCCCCCTGGGTTCCCTTGTCTGTCTTCTTGAAGATTATTAAGAAAAACTTGATACCTCCTGTGTTGGTGCAAACATCTCAGACATGACTAAGTCATGAAATGCCTTCTCTGAAAATAGAGACTGAGCAGAACAATCCAGATCAACAATCGCTGCACCCAGACTGAGAGGAGGGAAATAAGGACCCTGCCATTTTTAACCAAGAAGAATCAAGAATCTTCCTTAGATACTCAGTACTCAACTAGCAATAAATGTTTAGCGCAAATGTGGTCCACAATCTGTAGTTTCTCTGGGCCACATTCAGCCCTGATTGATGGTACAGACTAAGGGTGAGTCCAACTGGCTTAACTTAGGTGTACCTTATATGGCATAGATGGCAAGCTCGTTTGTGGCATTTGGACCACATGTGGTCCACACAATAATTGCAAAACCTTTCTTGCCCCCAGCTCTTGATTTTTGGGCTACCAACAGCACACACTACATTTGCTCTAAATAGTATCAGGCCTACATCGTGACTTTTGGTCCAGGTTGGACCAACAAGACATTCCTGCAAATGACAAAATTAACCCAGATTCAGCCCAGAATACAGAATCGTAGCATCACTTTGCATAAATCTGCAGTTTGAACCTTTCTTCTTTTTTTAATCTCATCCAAGCTTTCTAGCATTCAAAGTATTAAAACAGAATCCAATAAAAAGCTTAATATTTCTATGGAATAACACACACACACACATCATCATCATCATCAGTTAAAAGATGCGGATCTCAAGATGGTCTCAAGAAAAAAACAATAAATTTAAAGTTATTTTGATGCCTTCAAACTCCCACCATTTCTCAACAACACTCAACTTTTTAGAACTCGCAAACTCCAAACATCAGAAATTTAAACCATGAGAAGAAAAAAGTACTGATGATACAAAAGGGAGAGCACATGTTTGAAGTGACTTTAAGCTTTTCTTTTGCGATAATGACACAACGTACCACAAAACAACCACTGAAGGATCACAGAGAGTTGAAAATGTAACGCAAGGCAGAACACCATCGGTGCACTTCTTCTGTGCAGCTGTCGCACTTTGGTTGGACTTGTGACAGCTACAGGTGCTGAAGCTCTCAGAGTGTTTACAGGTGACTCAGTCCCACTGAGTTACATAAAGAAGAGTTTTGTTCTTTCTACAAATACAAAACGGATGACATTTCACTGCGTTCAATTATGTTTTGGATGCTGATGTTTCCATGTATTGGAGCTTATCTGTATAAAACATGGAGCTGATTGCATTAGACCAGATAAATGTGACACACGACCTCTGTGATGACACGGCGAGAAACACTGGGACTATCACTTTCCAAACGCGAGAGTCCATTTGCACCAGCACACCTCATCACACTGCACTTCACACCTAGAGCGCTGACAGCGCCACCCCCAAAACAAACCATACTGGCATTAAAAAGCTTCTCATCACCATCGTCATCATCATCATCCTGCAGTGACACTTTCTAATGAGCTCGTTTCTTCTCACCACATCACAAGTTTAGCTTTAGCTTTTACCAAAACCTCAAAAAAAGATCCCTTCAATGAACTGCAACAGAACGAGATCTGTCCAAAAGGTAGTCTAAGAGATTTCTCACCTTTTGGCTGATGAGGAAAACAGAAATGACCAACCGATTTGGGAAGCAGCCTCGTTCCTGGTGCTATAAGTTGGTATATATACTGCATTCCCAAAAGGCAAAGGGAACCCCATCTTTCTCTTTATGGAAGGCAACTTTTTCACTGACCAATGGGATGCAGCACCTGAAATATTATATCTGACCTCCCCTCCTCACCCCCTGAGAATCTCCCCGCCCTATCTCGTCATTATAAATAACCCCTTCTGCCCAGATTGCTTTGCTTATTGAATTATTCTCTTCCTACCCCCAAAAAGGAAGTCGCTCCTGTACTGAGTAGAAACGCAGAAGTTGCAAATCAAACAGCATATGGTATATTTACAGGGTCGAGGGGTTTTAGGCAGTTTTAGGCAGTTTTTCAGGAGATCACGGAGCAGGAGTGATGAAAGTTAAGGAGACAGCAGGTGGGAGGGCAGAGCAATGTTGTCAAGACCCTGGCTGAAGGATACAATTAAGAAGCTGTTAACAGAAGGTGGCCAAGCACTTTCTACATTTCAGTGCAGGAGGGGAAAAAAACAGAGCGGGAATTCCCCACTGTTTCCTGTTTTTCCTCTTAATAAGGCAATAGATGAGAAATAAAAAAAAAGGTTTATCTGAGGAGAGGTGACATGACAGTTCCATGCAATCTGCTGCTTTCATGCTCTGTTATGCTGCTGAAGCTCTACCAGTGGCTCAAAACGAGGCTTTTTTGTTAATGTGGCAGCAGAGGGAGAATAAAGACTACACTGGGAACAATTTTCATGCTCTTGTGCAGCCCTGTGCCCTCATTCAGGCGTATTACACAGAAAGTGGCGCTGCACACGAGTCTGATAATTGCTTTGCATTACATAAGTGTTTTGTATTCAGAAGCGATCGTGCAGCTGTTACAGCTGGAACTCATTTCAACATATCTGAAATCTGCTTGGTAGCTTCATCGTTTATACTATAACCTTTTATTATATTTAATGTTAAGATTTAAATCTGGAACATAATTAGTGGAGCAGAAAGTACAAAATGTGACACTGCAGGTGAGCGGGCTGTACGAGAGGAAGTGGACAGCACTGTCGCCACATGGCCGGGTTCTCTCCAAATACTCCAGCAGGAACCTGGAGATTTTGATCATTCGGATCTCATATTGTCTCGTATTCTCTGGATGTCTGTCATTTTCTTTCTCTGGCTCCACTGCAGGAAATTTCCTGATTGAAGGAACTTAGTTCTTTAGTGCATGTCAGAGGAACCAGGGCACAAACGAAGCAACAGGAGACAGTTTGACCTCCACATTGTGCTTATTCAGGGAACTTCCAGGGTGGGAGTGGCTTACAAATCAACATTTAGCAATGAGCTAATTTCTTAAATGGTAATGGGTGACATCACAGTGGTTGTGTCCATTATCAGTCTGTGCTTCTCACTAAGCGTGCACACAACACGAACTCTGAACGGCTTCAACATAACAGAGCTGTGTGTGCTCAAATCACTTCCAACACATGAGCAGCTGTTAGATACATCAGTTTCTTTAATATTTCAACAGTGCAAATTAAATCTGATTAATAAACACGACATGAGAAATACATTGCTTCACATTTCTGAATCACATCGTATTCATTGAGAACATTCTGGGATACTGAGAAATCACCTGAGAGAACGAGTTAGAAAACCTATTCAGTCTGATATGATGATTGTGATGGCGAGAGTTTACGACGACGGGGAAAAAAAGAAAGAAAAATAATCTGTTGATGATCGTTTCCACTACACGAGCGTCAAAACATCTGTCAAATATCGAATCCGTTTCAGTCTCACCGCTACTATACACTAAAGTCTGCAAATATATCACAGCAAGGACGAGTCACACAAATGTCTTTTTTCTTCTTTTTCAAAATAAAACATCCAAAAATATTCAACATCTTACAAGATATCTAGAAGTTAAAGTCATACAAAGTGTGCAAATGTCAACGAACGCTCATGAGATGACTCCAAATGAAGGCACCATACTTTTAGATTCTACTCCATCACATGAACTGTGACCGTGGCGGCCTGTCCGATACCAAATTTGACTAAGACCCCCCCACCAAAAAAATATATATATATGGAAAAAATGAAAATAAAAATGAAACTACAAGCAAAATAAAACCCAGTCAGCAGTGATGGAGTACCAGTTCTGCCTTGATGCCATTTAACAACCAGCCCACATTTTGACAGACTTCAGATAGAATCTGAGCTAAATATGGAAGTCATTGGTGAATTTCTTGTGGTAGTTCCCATGATACCCACAGCAGTGGTTTCAACATTGAAACCAGTAATTCTCACACTTTTTGCAAAGGACACTGGTCCATTTCCCCCTTACTAAAATACATGGACCATCCAATGTTACACTCCCATTTAAGTGAGAATTTGGCAATGAGCTAATTTCTGTATGGCTAACACTCTGTCCTAACAATATATATATTTTTGTACAAGGGTTCAATAAATTGGCTAAAAAGGAAGAGGCTAGCAGTGATGTGGCGACCAAAGACCATCAAGACTCAATGACATTCAACTTTTTCAAGCAATGACTGGCAAAATAACCGCTCGGGGTGAGAAGTGGAAGGTTCAGCACTTTCCTCAACTTTGAGGCAAGCAAGTGCGCCGCCTACCAATGAGAGGGCAGGATAGTGCTGATTGATGAGAGCGGGTGGTAAATACATCCCCACTAGTGTTCAACCTTTGTTACCGTCTGCTCACTCACTGACATCCAAACAGTATGGCTCCTTAAAAGTCCTTCCACCTGGCTCTACCTCCTACAGTTCACAGATGATTACTACAAGCAGATGCATGTATGGAAGACCAAATTAATCAAAAATAAAAGACCTCATATATACATCTATGTTATTACACCTAAAATATCAAAATGCACATAATTTAAAAAATGACTTTTTTTATTTCCTTTACAATTAATTTAAAATTCCTTATGTTTTTTTGATTTTGTTTTGTTCATTTCAGTGGTATGTCCCAGGTCATTTGATGTGTCGCTTCCTCTCATCCTTCTTTCCTCTGTACTACACTGTCTAATCAAAGGCCTGAAAACCCCCAAATGAAACTTAAAATTGAATGAAAAGGAAAATCGAAAAACGGTAAGTTTAGGAAACAAAGATATGAATTAATGTCACAGTTTATGAAATGAAGCCTACATTTGATTTTAATATTTTTAACACTTTACTGAGTCATTATTTCATTTTTAATTTTGGCAGTTCTGGTCCTCCACAATACTTACTATTTTTGATATACACGCCTGTGTAAGCATTAAAGATATAACTAAAGTAATTACAGCAAGAAATGGTGATGCTTTCCTGGTGCAAATGTTTTTTGTGTTTAGAGGTACTTCTAAATTCATTAATTTAACACACGCAAAAAAAGGCAATTGCCAGTGCTATCCCTTTAGCCTCTTAGTAGATGTGTCTATTGTATAAACTTCAAATTCCTAGATGATTTTCAGAAAAGCTGACCTCTGACCTTCAGGTCAAGGTCACTGTGATTCAAACTTATACAAGATTTTTATTAGATACAGCTATAAAACTTGACTTCAGAAATTTGGTGTGATGACAATACACCATCAGCCTTTCACAGCTGAGGCATTAAGGCTGCTTATATATTTACTTAAAAACCAACTACACCCACAGAATGTAAAGAAGCAACTGCTTTGAATTTGTCAAACATATCTGTGTACTGTGTTGAAGCGACATCAACTGATGTTAAAACAGGCCTGTGCCGTTGTTTCGTGTAGTACCACAGGATGGCACAGCGAGTTACCCAAGAGCAGATTCCCACAGCTAACCTGGTAAAATGCAAATCGTCTAGAGGAAACGGGGCTGAGAGAAACGTTGGAAGTTTAACGAACAGCAGCACACATCTGAACATGTTTTAATACACCTGCTGTTAAAAAGCTGCTCCCTGGTGGTGACATTTGCAAATGGTAAATAAAAAGGGTACCTTTAAAGACAAAACAGTACCTCTGAAAAGGTCATTTTCACCATTTTCTGACATTTAACAAAAAATTTGTAGGTTAAGAAGAATTTGACAGGTGAAAGACTCATGACTTCAAAGCCCTGACTACTATTAACACCTTCATCTGGTTACTTTTAATGAACATGGTCTCATTTTTCCCTCATTGTGAAACTCAGTCATGTTAAGTGTCTTTAAACATTCACAGGGAAACTTTAATACTCTTCTTTTTAGACAGTTCTGTAAGCAGTGGAGCGAAAAAGTAAAGAAAAAAAAAATTACCTCTTGCCATCCATAAACCCCGAATCGCAGTTCAGCAATGATGGTGCACTAATACTGATAAGAGATGCATGTCACTCAACTTCACCGCACACCAAAGTTCAAATTCACAGAGCCACGCTCCTAAAGACATTTCAGCGAACTGTCACTAAAAACGAGGCTCAAGTCTTCCTCACAGAGGACAAGAGGGACCGTTCATCCTGTCGAGTATGACCTCAGCGGGGGGAAAAAATAAATAAAAAATAAGCACACAAAAGATAGATAACAGCACAAAAAGGTCAGAAGCAACACAAAGTGTCCATGTGCAAAAGTTCCCTTTTAAGACAGAAGAAGATGAAACTGCAACATAATCCAGGAAGCGGCTGTAGATCTAAAGATAACAAAAAGCATGCATGTCCTCCATTGGCTGGAGTACAGACGGTTTGTTTGGGTTTCAACCCAAGTCCATATTTCATCTACTATGACACTCCAAACTAAGACTTTATCAGCTATAGATCTCCAAACAAGCAATGCCTCCTCACTTTGCCCAAAAGTCTACATGAACCTGATGGCAGGTTACAGTTGGCACTAAAACTTTTTCTTAAATGGATCTCCAGCATCAGCCCAAGTCTGCAGCTCACATTAAACCTTAGACAGTAAATTTGTGAAGAGGTTCTCTGGGTAAAAACTAGGGTGGACATTTCTAAGCAAAGAGTGATGATTTCTCAAACGACTGTGTGCAGTTGTGGCTAGCTTGCGACATGTTAGCTCTACCTGGTGGACTTTGCAGTGGACTTACTTAGTAAAACAATTCTATACCATTCTCATAGAGCTGAATCACTGCCTTCCACGCCACTGCATCAATTCAATGTGTTACAGTAGAGGGTTTGCAGAAACTACATACATGGAGAGCAGAAGTATAAATCCACTGATATACATACACGTTTCTATGCAGTGCATAATTAAAGTCAATGAGCTAAAATAATTAACAGAAGACTCGTGAGCAGCTTCTGCTGAACGGTCCGACCTTTCCTACACAACATGAGCTCTGGCCGACCTTTAGTCTATTTAGTTGTTTAATGGTGATCACCAACTACGTCTTATAGCCATCTGCACATAGTAGTAACATGTTACAGTAGCTCACTAGAAAAAACAAAAATAGGGGAAAATATGTATTTGAAGATAACAGATACACTTAGAATTTAATAAGCATTCAAATATTTGAAAGCCATGGCCATTCCAAGCACAGCTGAAGGAATTTTCAACCCCTACTGGTGCAATTCCAGTTTGTTGCATCTTTAGGTTTTGTAATGTGCATATAGACAACGCAAAGTGACGCTGCGCTGGGTTAACTCGCTGAGAAACTAATGTACTAGTGGGAGAGTACTGAATCACAGGTGACCTCATTTACACACAGCAACAGTTATTTTATCAGGACATTGCTTTTTTCTATTAGTTCTACTAAACCTTTTGGGCTGTCTTTACGTAAAATGAGTCGTGTAAAAAGGGCACTAAACAGATACATTACAGCACTCGCCCAATATTCAGGCTGGTAACAGAGTCCATGTTGTAAGACGTTCCACGTGGTCGCTTGCTTCTACAGTTATTTCACATCTTAAAGCGAGAAAGAAAATCATCCTTTACAGGCTTGCATGTCTCACCAGTGGAATTACCGCCACCTGAAACACATCTGAGATGTCACACTGGATTTACACGACTAGGTTACACCTGAAAGGTCGTTTTCAACATGCAGCAGTGTTTTTGTGCATCCAGGCATACTTTGCTTTATTGAGTCGTCCATAAAAGGCAAACTCTAGGCTGAGCAATTGGGCAAACATATTTGCGATAACCCGACTCAATCTGCAATTGGTTTGATTTTTGTAGTTCAACTTTGCTCATCCAGCAAGTGCGTCCTTGCTTTTAGTTGCACTGAGCTACAGTTACGAGTTGTACCACGCTCTGGTGCTCGTCTTACTGAACCTGGGCAATAGCCCAAAATGATGCAGCCCTCCGAGATCAATTCTGCTGAATAAGTATTTTTCATCGGGAAATGTTAATCTTGATTTTAAGAAAAATAAAGAACACACAAACTATATATTTGAGTTTAAAAAGGCATTTCTGTGAGTATTGGAGACGTCACAGCACGGCTGCTACTTATACAAACATGGAAGAGCCTGTTTGGGGGTTAAACTATCAAGTTATTGTTTAGAAATGGGTGCTATCCTATCAGACATCCTTATCTGACCAATCGGGACCAATCTATTTTATGGACCAGATCGGCTTCTTAAAAGACATAAACGCGTTTTATTCAAGTTCAGAGACTTTATCATTATCCGTTCACCATTTTTCAAAGTTAAAATCAAATGTGGGCTCTTGTGGGGACATAACCATTTTAGCCTTTTGGTTCCATTAACTCTTATGCGCTCTCGTCTGATCTGCAGCAAACATCGGTGCAATGGGATTAACAGGAAGTGGAAGAGCTCCTACAGTGGCCGTGGTGCCAGCTGGATGCATAACGTGAACGTGCAACGGCTTTATAACCCTTTTGGACCTGTTGCGGAACCCTTCCCAACTCTCCGAGCTGCATTTTTGATTCCACGTGTGAACGAAGCTGCAGGATAATCTAACGACCACTGACACGGTTCTAGTATGACATCAATAATCTCCTGAGATCACCCGGTAAGAAATTCCCCTGATATAGAACAGCAACACGACGGTGTGGCACAGAACTGAAGCAGGACTATATCAACTATACAGCCAACACTATCACACTGTTATACCGAGAAGCTTTGCACACTACAGCAAAGTCTATTGCGTCTCCTATTTGGCGAGTATGAAGGAGGAAATCACGGCCAGGTCACATTTACAGGTCTGAAGAGGAAATACATCAAATTCTCACAACCACAAGTGGGGACAATAATATCCATGTGATCAGTCTACAGCTGCCCTTGGTTGTCTGTATGAAAGGATCCAATACTGTGGGAGGAGCAGAGAGGGCGTCGAGCAGCAGCTGAGCATGATGGGAAACAAAATCAGGTCCACGCCACTTTGCGTGAGATGGCCTGTTTGAAGCACTCAGGGTCAATGTTTCCGCCGGGCCGCAGCGCCCTCTCCAGGCTCACAAGGACGTTTTGGTGGCACTCTCTGATGTTGACAGGGTACTTGGCCCTCAGCAGCTCATAGGCAGCGATCAGCCTCATGTTCTGCTTCACCATCAGGTACTGGATGATGCATGTGGGCGCCAGAGAGTAGCCGTCCCGACAGTGGACCAGGACGCGCTTCCGCTTCTCCGTGGAGGCGTTGATGCACTCGTTGATGTCCTCGAAACAGCGCTGCTTCAGCGACGGGCCATCGCCCAGAGCGTCCGGCACATCTCCGATGTCCACTTTGAGGCGGGACCAGCTGTGGCGAGCGCCACGAGAGCAGGTGCAGGGTATGAGGCTAAGGGAGGGGGCCGATTCTCCTGGAGCACTGCTCATGTCGATGATGCTATCGATGTTGTTGCGGCACAGCGTACGGCCATTGTACGCTGCGTTTAGGTTGCCGACATAGATGTAATCGGTCACCTTGGAGATGACGGGCTCCGAGTATTGGAAGTGTTCGGGACCACTGGGTTTGGGCTCTGGCGTATCAGGGCCCCTCGCTCCGGCCGGCCCCGTGGCGGCTCTCCGGCTGTAGTTGCGGAGCTTCTTAGAGCCGGAGCGGGACGGCGGGTTGGAGTCGGACTCTGAGCTGCTGTTCCAGGGCGGCGAGAAGAGAGAGAAGCGGCTGGAGGACTTGCTCTTGTTGAGTATCTCCACAGGGCTGGACAGGCCGGAGCAGGACACTGTGGTAGAAGCAGAGGCGCAGAACAGGGACGCTCGTTCCAGAGAACCCGTGCTGCTGGCTGCTCCTGCACTGTGAGCCTTCTCCATCTGCAACACAGACACAAATGAAACATGGATAACAACTCTCACAGTAGGTTGTCACACCAACCAGACCTGAGAAGTCCATAGCAGTGCCTGCTCCCCCCTTCATAAAAAAGCCAGGAAACACAGATTCCTCAGTGCTTCCAACATATGATATGGACCCATTTGAAATCCTTTCTCTACACCCTTCCACGCTGCGAGGAGTTAAACTCCACATGGAGTTTCATTTGGATCTACTGAAGTAGAAATACAGCCGCAAGCTTTAAGAACCCTGTCACCTTTCTGCTAGAAAAAGAGGAAACTAATCAGCATCTTCTGTGACCTACCCTGCTATCAGATTGATTTATTAAGACAACATCCATCACCCAGACGCATCTGTTCTACTTTCAGTTTATTCAAATATTTTCAGCAAGATTTCCAAAATGTTCCTACTTCTTTTCATTATTTTCTTGTTGTTCTTTAATTGATTAATATAGTATTTAGTTATAGAAATAAAAGCATAGATGTGCCTATTTTTGTATGTGAACACTAGTCCACAGTTGCAAACTCATTCTTTTAGAAACGCCGTTTTTTTTTAATATGAAGATGTTTCAGGATCCAGATGTACCTCAACTCCTGCTGAGGACATAGCAGCAGATGTTTGTGTACCTGAGCTTTGAGGTTGTTCTTCCACTCCTGCGTCTCCAGAGCCTTGAAGCGTCCGCTGCTGTCGGAGGACACCGACACACAGAGAGGCCGGTGGGCTCTGGCAGGGAGCTGGGGGGTGAGGGCCACGGGCACGGGCCTTGCATCGGCATGCTCGCTCCTACTCATCATTAGATTCGGACAGGAACCTGAAACACCCAGGAGGCCGCATGTGAGATCAAAAGGCAAACAACAGAACTTCTCCTCTCCGGTATTTGTGGAGACGACATGAAAAGAATTCTCATTCACAGACAACAGTTTAAAATTGTGTGTTACGTAGGGCTGCACGATTTTGCATAAAATGAGAATCACGATTTTTTGGTTTAGAATTGAGATCACGATTTTCTTTTCCAATATAAATATTTATTGCACTTATTAACTGCACATCAACTTCGTAACAGTTGAGACTGAACACAAAAACAACAAATGTCTCACGTTTTGTCGTTGCCGCAAAATGTTGTACTGCTTGAAATTCTGTCTCCACCGCTGCTCGACGCTGCGTGTTTAGAGCAGGTAGTGCAACAATAGAAAAATAGTTGCGGGACAGCACTGTGTAGCGTTTGTCTAGGGTGTTGATCATTTTCCTAAATCCCTCGTTTTGCACAGTGTTGATGGGAGCCATATCTTTGGTCAGGTGATAAGTGATAGCCTCCGTAATTTCTTTGTGCCTGCGGGAGTTCGACGGGTATAGAGAAGCGCTGTAGGTTCCCGTTATTGATGTTTGGGTGGTTGACCGGGACGGATTTTCTCCTGTCACTTTCTTGGCCTTTACAGCTTCCTCATCTCTCAGGTGCTCTCCGTTGTTTTTTTCCCCTGCCAGCTGACTTCTGTATTGTGGTATAAGGCTCCGCCCTTGTCATTTGTTGAGCAGGAAGAGTGAGCGCTTGTTTTCATGCAGCTTATGTCCAGGATCAAAATGCAGTACAATCGTCATCTTTTACTTTTTTTTTCTTTTAAAAATCATTGTCACTTGGAAATGAGATCGCACATAAGTATGAATTGAGATCGTGATTTTCTAACGATTAATTGTGCAGCCCTAGTGTTACGGTACCATTTTCCCCAAATCTGCAAACACTCCAAAGGTTTAAAGTCAAGTTGAGGAATGAAGGATGAAACACTTCTCCAAAACTACGCTGTAGTTCATACTAGTTTTACACAGACAGTTTGTGAACTGAAGATTTGAAATCAATTATATTATTAGATTCATATTTAATTTAATCTACCTCTTTGCAGTTTCCTGCCTAAAACCGAGAGACAACAGAAGAAGGTGTTTCTATCTGTAATAGTTTCAGTTTTAAATTGGAACTTCACTGTTTGCAAAGATACTATTCTATCTGTGCTAATGCACATGTATTCTCCCGGGCGTGTGCTTCTGTCACTCTGTGTGGGGAGAGTGGACGTCACTGCCAGCAAAGATGTTACTGCCAAGCGCACAGGAGGTCAACAGGACAGTTGGACAATGAAGGAGGGAAACCGGGTTCATAGCTCGATTTTTGGGTTTAGTACATACTTCAATTTCTTTAGAACAGATAAATACTTTGACTTTCACCATTTATGTTTATTAGAACTTTATATATTAAAAAAAAAAATAACTATAAAGCCCGTCTGAGCTCAAACTGGACTTATGCTGCATATAAATTGACTTTGCCACCCCAGCTGCAGACCATGAGATTCTGCACAACTTTTACAGGTTTGTATCTTACTTACATCCATCAGAAAAAATGTGGAACGTTATTCAAGCCCAGGACTTGTTCCTTCTGTTTGTCCACAAGTTTGAAATCAGGAAAAAGAAGGCTGGGATTTGCTGCTCCCTCCTTTTAAAATCTGCTAATCAACTAAATCTTAATCAGCTGGTTTTTAATGACCTGGAAGTACCGTTAATGACACCTTGTGAATAAGGGAACTTCTGCCCATGCAGGATTTGACCTACCAGCACATTCTGAGCGGGTGATGGACTGAATCTGCAGTGTGTTCTGGGTTTTCAGCAGGCGGTGGAGAGTTCTCAAAGTACCTGCGCACAGACAGAGAGGTCACCTTACACAGAACTTAACAAAACACAGAGGAGATATTTAAAAAAAAGGACAGCGGCACCAGTCTTACCGATCCTTCCGTTCTGCCTGCAGGGCACCATTGGATCCAAAACTTTGTGTGCACTCCGCTCTTCCTCTGCATCCATGTTCCGCCTCCTGCAGGGAGAGGCGCATCATAACCCCGGCCCTTCATCTTTTGGCAAGCCGAGCAACACATCAGCTACATCGGGCAGACATGGCTTCAGATAGTTGGCGGTACCGACACCCGAACGGCTGCTAGCATCACCGCCTAGGTTAGCAGCTAACGAAAGAGCTAGCCATCCAGCCAGCTGGTCGGCTCACTGTGTGTGAGTCATATCGTGGAGCTGGTGGAGGCTCTGACCGTCAGGTAATCCTAGTGGGGAAGCGAAGCTGCAGCAAACCAGGGCTCGCTCACGACAGCTTGACGACTAGAGCCATTAACCACAGTAAACCTTAAAAATCCCCGGAGCGTTAGCGAGCTAACCGTAGACTGCACAAGTATCCGTTGCTCACGGCTCGTACACGGGTGGCACAGCTCCATCACACGAAACGACAACAAGAACATGCACACGATATTATGCGTCCATCTGCCGCCACACAACGCGGGTTAACGTGGATGTTAAACGCCGTAAATGTGACCATTTATCCGGAGCTTCAGTGATTAGCTGCCTGGCTAACCAGCAGCAGCATCAGCACCGTGAGCGCGCCGGCTTCAGTCCATGGGAATTGTTGTCCTGGGATTGGCCTTGCAGGATTTACCCCGCTTAATGACAACCTTTAACCTTTAAACAAATACGAATGCGTATTATCTGAGTAAATTATACGGTGTATTTGCAAAACTAGATTAACAGCAAGCAATTATACGCAATAGAAATTCCCTGCGAGACAAAACCCGGGGACTAAGGAACGCAAATTTTGTAGGCTTTCATTAAATTGTGACTCCAGTGAGTCCCAGGGCAGTGGGAAAAGCAACAACAAAAAACCCAAAGTAACCTCATAATCTTTTCCAATTCACTTTCTAAAAAAAAAAAAAAAAACCTTAATGGAAAACATGAGCGGGAGAACTGCCAAAATCCTCACGTGAGCTGACTTCAAAATGCGCATCCTACTTCACTTCAGTATCCCCCCCCCCCCCCCCCCCCCGTGGCCCTCATCCTCTTCTGTAGCTTTGCTACCGAAAGGCGTGCTTATGGGTATTTTTCACAAAATCTTGGGAGACATATTTAAATAATTCACGCAATTCTGATTCACTTTGCGGCATGCCACAAAAGCATGTCTGATTCTGCTTTGGCTTTGTCCTGCAGCTCTTCACTCAGCCCTCACACTGAGTCTTCGGAGCTGAGCATAATTCTGCATCTGTAGTAATAAAACTCACCGAAACAGAGCAGAACTGAGCTGGAATATTTTCTCAGCAATGCGCACGCGCTGATGGACTCATCATATTGAATCTGTTTTGAACCAAAGTGAAATGTCTGTCAAAACGCACTAACGCGACTGCTGGAAACCGATACGTGAAAAGAGCGATGCGCGCATTTACGCGTGTGGCACAGTAACATTCCTTTCATCAACACACTTATTTACAATATTATGCGAAATATTATTTACAGTTGTTCTGCACGTCACACAGGTCAGCTGTTACACTTAGATTTCGGTGGAATAGTTTCTAATAGCAGCTCCTAATAGAAGAGTTATCCCTTGTATCAAAATCACACCTGAAAGGACTTGCTGTTTTCAGGGAGGTCTGCGCTTATAATATTATTCGGTTAGTGTATTACACACTTTCATCCCGTCTACTGGTTTTTGAACCGCTAATTTTCCTCGCTCTTTGTAGAATCATTGGATCATTTATCACTGAAAATAAACTAGTTGAGCCGTCTTTGTCACCGTTGTCTGTCTCATAGCATATATAATTAAGTAAATCATTTTTTTAAATATTGTTCTTGCTGTTGAGTGATCCATTGTAACTATTTTGTTCTTCCATGCGTACTATTTCAATGAAACGCGCAGATATTTTGTTTAAAGGCTTAGTTGTAAATGTCGTTAACCCTGAACAGGTTACCAGTGAACTAGTCTTTGTTAGGTGCTTAATCTACCAGTAGCTCATTGTACCATAGCTTTCCTTAAGATCTATTAGATCTATTTGACTATTTCGTTCTATTTTTTATGTAATCCAGAGTATATTTTGTGGTTGTGTCTAGTTAAACAAAGACAAAACCTTACAAAAGAATTAAGGATTAAAGATGGAAACATTCGTTTAAAGTTCCAAATATTTCACTAAATAAATATAAATTCACATTTATGGCAGAAATGGTCAGATGACGTCTAAAGTGAAGTCTGTAGCATAAGTTTATTGGATCTACTCACCGTGTGTGTGTGTGAGAGAGAGAGAGAGACGCAGGCTGCAGCTGTTTCTCAGACTCAATGACTGAAGCAGTTTCGTCTGAAAGCAGAGTTGATCCTGTTCTTCTTCTTCGTATGCTTTAATTGGATGGTCTGGGCTTCTCTTCAGGTAACCTGGTAACCCACCGATCTGCTGATGTCACTGCTCTCCATAATGAAGTGTGAGTGTATCCAGCCGCCTTTGTCAATAAGCAGGAGGGTAAATTCACAGGAGATAAGCCGGACAATGAAGGCCATGGCTGGTTTAAGCTGATCAGGAGACACTGAATTTCTCGCAAACAGGTGATTCCAGTTTATTCTCCAGTTTACTTTTGCACCTTTATTAACAATTCATCGACTTCAAACACAGATAACACTGATATTTTTTTATTATAGAATGAATTGTTATTCAAAATAATAATTAAAATGTGTGGTATTTTGGGTACATTTTAATTATTACTGAAAAGGGATGGGATTCATCACCAGTTAGTGATTTTAATAAGCACGAATGTCCACCACTGGAACAGAATATTGACACAAAATAAGAAAAAGAAGATTGTTTTTGACTCGAGGCCCCTTAGCAAAATTCTGAGAGCTACATTAGTTTAATTGTTACGTTATAGGTGAGTCTGAAGCAGATTAGGAACCCTTTAATGGATCATTTTCATATTTAAGGCCTTTGTTAAGGAGGTAAAATATAAAAGCTGTCCCATTTTGACTCCTGTGGATCAGAATTTTTGTTTGTTTAACTTCATTTATTTATTACCTTTATTGGATAGGAAAGTGTAGTGAGACAGTGCAGGAGAATGACACAGAGGAAGCAGCCCGGCAGACACTCAAACCCAGGTATCTAGCCTTCTGTACTTCAGCACATGGGTCACCTGCTCAACCAGGTGAGAGAAAGTGAAACAGAGAGCAAATTCACACCAAGTACAAACACAACAAATGGCATGATGGAGATAAAGCAAGGAAAGTAAATACACAGAAGCCACTGTAATTAAAAAGGAATAAATGACAAAATACTGCATGATGTTACATTAAGGTATAGAGAGAGAGTTCTTGCATTAGTGGCTTAGTGTAAAGCAGGGGTCCCCAGTCCCAGTCCACGAGGGCCGGTGTCCTGCAGGTTTTAGATGTGTCCTTGATCCATGACAGCTGATTTAAATGGATAAATGACCTGCTCAACGTGTCTTGAAGTTCTCCAAAGGCCTGGCAATGAGCTAATCATGTGATTCAGGTGTGTTGACCCAGGATGAAATCTAAAACCTGCAGGGACACCAGCCCTCGTTGACCGGGATTGGGGACCCCTGGTGTAAAGGTTTGCAAATCCGTCTAACAAGTCAAAGATCGCTGCTCGGAGAAGACACAAATCCCCCATTTTAGGTGGAGTGAGTAAGATTTTTGTTGTAATTGCAGCAGAGTTGAAGGAGGATGCTGCTGAACACACTTTGCTGTTTGACCGGTAGGTCCTTTAGGGGATGTGAGGTGTTGTCCAGTATGTTCAGCAACAATCTTTGCCCAGGAAACACCTGTAGGGGCTCCAGAGACCCCAGAGCCAGGCCAATCCTAATCAGCTTCATCAGCTGGCTCTGTTGCTGCTGATGCCCTAACAGAAAATTGCACTAGTAATGACAGGTTAGTTTGAAAAATGTGCGGCAATATTTTTTTCCGACTTGTATTCCTTCAACTGATGTTCCCGTTATTCATTAACGTTTATTTTTAATGAGACAGAATAAAATCACTAATGCTCAGACTACAAATGTGTCCTTCCATTGTCATCTCAGTGTCATCTGCAGGTGACAGAAAGTGGAGAGAAGATCTTGTGTGTCCTTAAGTGGGTGGGACATTTACACTTCAAAGAGAGCTTCCAAGCTTCTTGGCTCGTCCCTATCAGGTCTGTTGAGCCTTCACTGGCCTCCTGTAAATCACTCTCTGAGGTAGCAGCAATATAATGTTGACCAGTAAAATACAAGCCCGTAGATCATTTGTTATTGAAGCTTATTGTGATGGTACACTCTAGCGGCTGTGGTAATTATGACAAGAGCAAAGGAGAAAGTAAGTGGCGATTGTAGGGGGATGGATGGATGAACGAAAGAAATTAATCAGTCAATCTAGGGTGACTTTCTTGAGCTCGTTCCCACTCTGATAAGGATTGTTCTTCCTTTGCCCTGTGAACCTACAAGCTCTTGCTTCCTGAAGTTCTCCAAAAAATACTACTGAGTTCTCCGAAGGCCCTCTGGGCTTTTCACACAACCGGAGAACATTAAGGCAGGTCCTTTGACGATGTGACAACATAACAATTGGGATTAAAGGGTTGTAGAAGTTCAACAGAAGGTCCTCCAGGTGCTCTGCGCCATAGTGCACCTTTAAAAGGGACTGTTGAGATTAGGGTCCTCGTAAGGTCTTGGGAGCTTTGCAGAATAACCTTCAGAAAGGTCCCCTGAAGGTGCTCTGAAGGTTTCCCGAAATAACTTTCAGGGAACGTTTTCTGAAGTTCCCTTGAAAGTTCTGAAAAAAGAAATCCTCTTAAAATAATTATTTGTATTCAGCATTGTAAGCAATAAGCTAAACTCCATCGATTGTAGTTAAGGTTTGAAACGCTGCGAGACGATGGCGTCTTTTTTTGTCTTGAACCACAGAGCAGCCCGAATCCATTTTAGACCCATCGTCTTACATCATGAAGCCATATCGCTTCAGCTGATCCTGGAGAAACATTAAATATCCAACAAACAAACAATCTGTAGCTGAAGCGTCTATATCACTCAAAGCCAGTATCTTCTAATGTTTTCAAACTTTATTAGAGGTAGGGTCATTTTTGCTTATGAAATCAAAGTTTCAAGTCAACAGAGGCTCGTCGTAGTTGATGTTTTAACATCAGATGCTGACAGAGTGAAAATCTCCCGTTTTGTGAATGCACTGAGCTGTGCATTCACAGAGCATTTAATGAGGACGGTCTCTGGAGGCCTGAGCCAGCAGGAGAAGGCACCTGCTGAACTCGGCTTGATTGAGCTCAGTTTTTGTTTGAGTCGTCGTCTGTCAGGGGAGACGAGTGAGAGTCTCAGACTTGTTTGTCCATAAACGATTGTTTCTAGCTTTTAGATCATATTCCAACTGTGTAGAAAGTTAACAAGATCTTTTCTTAATAAAAACATATAGAGTTTTTTGTGTTTTGTAGACTAAAATACATTTCACTTTCAGTGTGTTTACATAAGAAATAATGATATGCATTTCCAGGTCCATTAGTATTTAGAAACCGGCACAACAACTGCAATTTTGCCTTTGCCTACAGGGGATTTGAAATCAAACAGTGAAGATGTGGTTGAAGTGGAGAAGTTCAGCTTTAATCCAACGGCTTTAACAAAAATATTGCATTAAGTGTTTAGGAATTACACCCAAGCTGCTCTGCTGAATCGAGCTCGGGTAACTGACTTGGCGAATTGAAGAATATCCCCATTTCTTTGCTTTGACAAACTCGTGGGTCGCTTCTTTTGCAGTCAGCCTTGGGTCATCATCCTTTTGCACTGTAAAATGTAGTCCGATCGGTTTTGTAGCATTTTGTCAGAGTCTGATCACAGAGGGTGGCCTTGAGTGCCACCCAGTGCTTTGCAGCGTGTCCTAAACTTTCTGTATTTCCATTCAGTAAGACATCTTTGGTTTGTAGACCTTGACAGAGATACTCCTGCCTCCTTAAGAGTGGTCCTGGCTTGGTAAGCTGTTGTAAAGCTGTTGTTTTTAACCATAGAAAGAATTCCACAACCATCAGTTGTCTTGCATGGTGTTCACAGTGCTGCTGAGCTGTTGACATTTTTGTACCTTTGTTCATACGGTACGAAGAAATATAGTACTGCCCCAGACTGCATGCATGAACAAATGATGAAGCTCTGGTTATATTACAAAACACAAGAAAAACACACCTTTATACTGATTAGTACTAAGAATTGCAATTCTACTACTAGTAGTAATAATCTTATTTAAAAAATGACTTATTTATGTCAGCCTTTCTCCTGCTTTCCTCCTCTTCCCTCTTTTACAGCAGCATCACTCCCCGTTTCACTTTGAGATAAACTTGTTTCCTTATATAGAGAAATAAGTGTGATGGTATGCAGATTGCAGACAGCCAGCACAAACGATGCCGGTGCCCACTCGTCATGAATCTGGCAGAAGTTTCACGTGCGAGCTCGTGTCTTTCGCAGGGTAAAAACATTTACTGAATGAGGCTCATTCAGAAGTTCAAGACTTGGAATCAACTCTTTTATCCACTTCATTTGTCTTGGAATAATGAGTGAACATATTGACTGTTTGATTTAAAATCCACCATGTTGTTGTTGTACTGAGGGAAAGTGTGTACTGAAGCTATGGACCTAACTGTATTACTCAGTACAGCTATCTTACAGAGGCTAAACTGTGTTTATAAAGCAAAAATAAATGTTAGAAAATATATTTTAGCATGTTTTGATTTGATACCAAAAATAATAATTACAAATCTTAATATACAGTATAATACAAAGTAATCTTATTCAATAATTTCCATATCAGAAGAACAAAGGGAGAAATGGTTATCAAAAATATTTGAATCTCTCTTTTTTTTTTTAAATGGTTTCATTTAGGGTACCACTGCTGAGCGCTTTCCTTCATTTTGCTGGGGATGGGGATTTTCTTTTTCAGGGTTAGAGTGGAGTTGACCTGCTCGGCCGACAGCAGGCTGTGCCACTGAGCCACCGGCCGTCGCGGGTTGGACAACATGTCGGCCCAGTGCCTTAGTTGGTTCCCTGTGGCATCACAGCCCAGGTAGATCTTCCCTATCGGATCATTCCTGGTCACGGCGTCATGGTCCCACACCGAGACCACCAGATTCACCCTCTGAGGAAAGAGATTCAGATTTAAAGTCGCCTCACTATCAGCGCAGCATTAAAGTGGTAGTCTTTAATATGGGAGACAGACAGTATCTCTACTTTTAAGATTAGGCTTCAAACTTTCCTTTTTACTAAAGCATATAGTTAGGGCTGGACCAGGTGACCCTGAATCCTCCCTTAGTTATGCTGCAATAGGTGTAGGCTGCTGGGGGATTCCCATGATGCACTGAGTGTTTCTTCTTCACCTACTTTGTATTTATACACCTCTCTGCATGTAATTAATAGTTATTATTAACCTCTGGCTCAGCATGTCTTTTATGCTGTCTTTCTCCCCTCCAACCAATCACAGCAGATGGCCCCGCCCCTCCCTGAGCCTGGTTCTACCGGAGGTTTCTTCCTGTTAAAAGGGAGTTTTTCCTCCCCGCTGTCGCCAAAGTGCTGCTCATGCAGTCACAGGATTGGGGTTTTTTTCTCTTATGTATTATTGTAGGGTCTACTTTACAACATATATAGCGCTGAGGCGACTGTTGTTGGGATTTGGTGCTGTATAAATAAAACTGAAAAGTGAAGTAAATTTTTCCACAGGGATGCACCAATCCATTTTTTTTAGTTTGTGATACCTCAAGTGTGACTGTGTGCTTATAATAAGTGTCAGTCTTATAACAGTGTTAAACTAAAAAGCTGCCTCCCTCACTGCATACAGCTGAGGATCATCCCTTTATGTGTTAGGCTGCATTAGGCTCTTCTTTGAGAAAGGAGCTGAATCCCTACACCAGAGGTAGAAAACCTTAAAGCCTTCAGTGTGTGATGGTTTACAAAAGTGTGTGCGCCATGTTCATCAGAAAATCACAGCCACTCAGAACAACAGTAAAAGAGTAATTATCAAACATGTGAAAGTGGCAGGACTCTGTTTCCCTTCTCAACAATGCGGCATGTATTATGTAACCACTTAGACCAGGACTGGAAAAATAGCAGGTTGAATTTTATTTTTATTGACACAGTGTATGCGTCAGCCAGTGCAGAAGTATAAATGTCAGGAGAGAGGAAAACATTCTCAAGTTAGTTCAATCCAGGATCTATGCTGATATATTCTTTATATTCTAAACCATCATCACAAAATGTCTCCAGAATTACTGTTAAAATGTTTTGTGTTTATGTAAAATTAATATCGATGACCAGTCTATTGTTTCAGATCGTCTCAAATATTGTTAAAGATCTGCTTCAGCCAGGATGTCGTGACACTCACCTGGATTTGATCCAGTGACACGTCAAAGACGAACGATTCGTTGAAATAAGGGTTCAGCGTCTTCTTTTTGATAGACGTCTTTTTTTTCTTCCACTTCCTTTTGTCCAGAGCTAGCTGCATCTTCACATAAGGATCTACGAACACAGCATGGAGGAAAGTCACTCGGAGCACCTATAAACTGTATTTCTTCATGCAGATGCATGATGCCTCCATAAAATACCTGAGAAGAATTAATGGGGTAAAATAATAAGGTAAGCAGGAATCAAGAAACATGAATATTGTAACAGCTGTAACAGTATTGATGCAATTCAGACGTGATTGCATCAATAAAGAAATTTTAGATAATCATCCTTTTAGTTAAGATAATCCGTTATGACTTTCTTTAAATAAATATACAGCTAGATGTTTAAATTAAACATGGTCAGCACTTAAGCATTACTGCTCAAACCTGTTTAAGAAGACAGTTTGTTTAAAGGGGGAGGAGCTAAAAATATTATGATAAGATGCATTAGACCCCAGTGTAAGATAAACGAAGCTGCTGTAGTCGAGTACAGCTCCCACAATATGAAGATGGAAATGACTAAACTTCTCCAATCTTCACTGTTTCTGTAGTTACTGCTGTCAACCACTGTGAGGCAGTGTTGTCTTCTGTTACACCTCCAGTGATCACCCGTTGGTTTAATGGAGAGCAAATGTGTTCTTGGATTTGCTGTAAATTAGCACGCTGGAGCGTTTTTGAAAAGTTACATTTTTGATTAAGATCCCGTTTCAGTCTGACCTGAGGATCCGCCAACATCCATGCTCTTCAGGTTTTTGGCCTCCAGGATTACCACAGTCAGCTTGCTGGCAGAGGGAACATAGCGCAGGGAGAAGCAGATCTCTCCTAGATTTTCTTCCTGTAGCACAAACGTCATACAGAAATCTGTAGTTCTGACAAACTGAATCAGCTCTGATATATTTCAGTAAACTGAAATGAATAAAAATGCAAATAAAAGGAGGAAGCTGAAGGAGAAAGTGACCATCTACCCATTATGAGAGCCTTGTGCTAGTGACAGTACAAAATGATTTAAATAATATTCACATTCCTCTTGGATAACCTGCAAAACCTATAATGTTACTAACAAGTATAAAAATAAGAATAATACATTTTATCTTAAGTGCCTTTCAAAATATTCAAGGTTAGAAGAGTTTAAAAAATGTAAAAAGCCAAGAAAAATGTCAAAGTGAATTAAACAAATATGCAGTATATAAAAATCATTAAGAACAGAGGATGCATGTGACAGGTGGAAGATGGTCAGAAAGAGTAAGTCACTTTAGAGAAATGTGTTGGGATTTGAAAGTGGAGAGAGTCAGGCAGGAGATGTCAGGTAGGAGAAAGCATCTGATGACTCTAACCTGAGAGGAGGGGGGAACCGAGAAAGGAGAACCTTTTATAACCTGGATTTGGTGCCAATGAGGGGGACCTCAGTTTTAACACTATTCAATCTGATAAAGTTCCTGGAGACCCAGGATTTGATTTCCTTGAGGCAACGAAAGAGAGAGGTGGGTGGGAGGTTTGGTGCACAGGTAAAGCTGGGTGTCATCAGCATAAAAATTGAAATTAATATCAAATTTACAAAAGAGAAGAGACCAAGTGGAAGTAGATTATTAATAGGAGAGGTCCCGGGACAGATCCTTCAGGAAGTGTCAATCGGTTGTTTTGAGATTTTTGAGTTGAATGAAATTAGTTTCAGGATGCATCAGTGATTCCGCTACAGGCTAGTGTCTCAAGAAAATGTATTGGGGTATAGTATAGAAAACCAGAATAGATTTTGACAGTATGAAGAGAAGAGTAAACAAACCAAGCTTGAAAAACTGTTAATCCTGCCATTAATCCAACTATTGGTCCCAGGAAGCAACATGACTGCTTTTTCTTTTTGAATGACACAAGAGGTTTGGATTAGGAAACTGAATCCTTAAAGAATATGGAAATACATTTGACAAAAATTGATTAAATCCTTCCTAGATGCCACCACTTGGACCATGAAGAATAAGGAAATGTGTGAAAGCAAACCTCAAATTTGGCGGGTGCTTCCAGCTCCTGCCACTCCTCGATGATGTGATTCCAATCAACATTGCAGAGCTGCACCCGGATCTCGCCGATGATTTCGTGTTTGGAAAACCGGTTAAAGTCAAACACTTTCATCACAGCTGTCGACTTCGTGAGGGTAGACTTTGGTAGCTGGGGGCATATAACTAAGGTTGGAAGCTCTTTCTTTTTTGAGGATTTGCAACATTGACGTTCAACTTCAATAATTCACCACATACACAACAATTTTTAATTATAACTGTTTTTTAAGCAAATGCAACTAAACAGGGCAAGTCACCAGGTCCTACCTGGAAGGTGAACTGCTCGTTGAAGACAGGGTTCAGCGTGCTCCTGAACACTTTGGTTTCATAGGTTTTGCTCTTTTCGGGGAGGATGTAGACTCTGACATATGGGTCTGAGGTTCCTCCGAGGTCCATGGCCATCAGGCTGCTGGCTTGTTTGATCCCCAGTTTGAGCTGTAAAGGTCGACAGGAAACAGATGGATATTGACTCATACCACAGCTGAAAACTAAAGAGGAGCTGAACAAATTTCACACATTCAAATGTTTAAAATAAGAATGCAACATTATAGAAGTGCAACGCTGCATGAAAGGTAAACAATTAGACATTCATTTAATCACCTCAGACAGAGGCCCATCATATTCCAGAGAGTAGAGCAGCTTTCCTCTCTGCTTTTTGGTTGAGCCATAATCAACATCTGCCACATCTGGCTGAACCTGTCAGACGAGCACAGGAAGCACATTAGCTGTCCAAGCCTTTTCAGGGGGTAAAGCCATGTTAAACTTTTAAACTAAAACTGTTGTATACTTTTAATTAAAAAAATAAAATTATGTCACACCCAGAACCAAATAAATCCAGAGTAACGACACAACATAGAACATCAAGTCTGTTCTTTGAGTCTGAAAAATAAAGTCATGTGGTGTCCTAGTGTGCATTACATCTAAAGGACAGCAGGGGTCACTGGAACTATGCTAAAATTACTCTACTGCTCTACTTGATCAATAACTTAAGTGAACATTTTCCTGATGAGTTTATGGCATTAATTGTTAGTGTCAGGTCTTATTTAACATAGTCTCATGTTGACTCAACGGTTTCTCTAAAGTGCCAACCGCATGTTCCCAGTGACGTAAAAATACAGGTTGTGCGTGCCAGTTCCTAACACCTTGATTGTAGTTTGTTGTGGACATGGACAACTGGAGACCCAACAACGAGTAGTCATTCCTGTGGCACATGCACAGCTGTAAAGTAAATTCTCCACAGACGAGTCAGTGGCATCGACCCTCGCAGTTACCAAAACGTTATTTCACTGAGCGCTTTCAAACCTATCAAAAGTAAAATCGAGTCAAAGGTTCTGACCAGTTGTTTCTTGACCCAAAAAGTAACTAAACTGTTCAGCAACTAATATCTGTCCAGTTTACAAGGAGCCTGTCATTAACCAAGGTCTTTTCACAGGAATTCTTGAGGGTTGGCAAAGCCCAGGAATACCTTAGCATGCTGAAAAGTAACACGTGAGACATTCCAATGGTTATTTCCATCTTTTATGTGTAGTCTGTAGTGTGTAGTTATAATCAGTTCAGTGGAAATAAAAAACAATAGAATACATTATGTTTTTGTGTTGTGTATCAGTCAAATTTATATCAGATACTCTGGCCTCTGCCACTCACCAGGGCTGTGGTTGTTTTTCCATTCACCGCCTTCAGATCGATCTGCTCGTTCTTCTTCTTTTTCTTCTTTCCTTTGCAGCAGCACTTGATGCAGACACACAGGCAGCAGAGCAGAATCAGCAGACCGCCAGCTGCAAAGATGGTGTAGATCGCCCATCGAGGCACTGTGGAGATAAGACGAGTCCACATTATCTCACCAACAAAGACTGATTCTGTAAACAAAATGTCCATTTTATTCTCATTGAAAATCTATGAAAATATTTGTTCCTTTGATTAAAAGTTGAACATATGAGCTTTATGGTAGAGTTAGATATAATGGTAAACTGATTACACATTCAGTTCACATTAAAATTATTTCTTTGTATTTGCAGTGACAAATCGTGCCAGTGATTAAATCCTTTGATGTCCCAGTGCTAAAAGATGGACAAAACATAATTCATCAGAAGATAAATATAAATAATTTCTTTGGACATAATATTAATTGATTGAGTATGTTGAGAATGTAGTTTAAAGAGAATAATTTAAGACCGGAGATAAAACACTCTGGAAGCAGCTACGTCTCTAAATCGTACAACTCTATGCAGATGACACACTTTTGTGTGTGACTAACTTTAAGCCTCTGAGATCAAAGTCATCATTAGTGATAACTTTGACTCTAGATTTTGAAGAATGGCTAAACGGACGTTTTTGAAAATAAGAATAGGTTTTGATGCATTTCCAAATATTCATTTTCTTGGCCTCCTGATTACCGAGTCTTCAGAGACCAATTAAAAGAAAAAAGAAAAATGACATATTCAGATTGCAGAGGGTTCAGATTGAGGACATCAACAACGATGACATAAGAGACTAGCTTGGTTGTGCAATGAGCCTATGCACAACTTTGCAGAGCATCGTATACATGTAATAACTTTGTGCTATCATAAAAAATACGTGCAACAATAAGTTTGTGTGCTGCTCTTGTTTGTGTTGTTGTTGGTCCTTTAGGCAGTAGAAACTACAACATCTAAGTTTTAGTGAAATTTCAAGACACGTTCCAAATAACAGCTAAACCCAGGCATCTTATATTACAAGACACAGCATACAGCAGAACCAGGCTCAGGGAGGGGCAGCCATCTGTTTTGACTGGTTGGGGAGAAGGGGAAAGAAGCTATTATTGAGACCCTTCTCATCATTGTGTCTTTCATCAGCAGCAGGGGGAGATCACTAGCATTTGTATCTAACTTATTTGCTCACCTGACAAGATCAAAACACATATTTAACTCTAGTTATCCTTTGGCTACTTGGGAAATAATTCATTACTCACAGGGTATCCGGTCGAGCAGGCCATTGATGAAGGCAACAGCTGGGTCGGCAGTGGTGTTAGTATATGTGGAGATGAGGGTGGTGGGGTGATCTGTGACTGTGAAGCTTTTTGCCTTTGATAACAAGTTAGATTTCACATGGGAAGAATGTTGTGGTGGAAGGATTTTAGACATGATGAAGAGGATGAAGATTTCTGGAAGCAAGAGATGACAAATGTTTACATGTGTTAACAAAAAAGTCTCTCAGCCTTTGTGCTTAATGAAAAGTGGAGGGAATGGCTTCCCTCAAATTACCACAGGCTTGATAGATATGAGTCAAAGTGACCGCATGATGCACGTGCAGTCACTTTAAAAACACACACACACACACACACACACACACACACACACACACAGTCCAACAAAGAGACGGTGGGTGGAACCTAAAATCTCAAATTTGGACTCATCAGACCAAAGCACAGATTTCCACTGGTCTAATGTCCATTCCTTTTCTTTCTTGGCCCAAACAAATCTCTTCTGCTTGTTGCTTTCACTTAGTCGTGGATTCTTAGCAGCTATTTGACCATAAAGACCTGATTTCCGCATTCTTATTACATTATATTGTATGGTAAAGACCCTACAATATTAAAAAGCCATCTGCTGCAATTGATTGGGTGTGACAGGCGACAGCTCATTGGTTCCTGAGGTGAAAAGTCGCCTGCTATCGTCCAAGAAAGCACCTAGTTAACAGAAATCCTGACCTTTTATTTATACACTGAGTTGATTTTGTTCTTAAACATATTCAAAACTCGCCACTGCACTATAATCTTATAAAAGTGATTTGTAACTATACCACTGGTGATACCCTGTGGTCAGATTACAGAGAGACCATGGTTTTACAACCTGGTCAAAATATCACCTTTTAACCCATAAAACTTTTCAGTGTTGAGATATTTTTGGACTTTAAAGGAAGTTTCCCAGCAACAGTGACGTAAAACAAATTTCAACAAACATCAGAGCCATCAAACTCTGCTGATACGACTGAGTGGAATTCCAACTACGGCCCTCCACCATGAACAAACAGCAGCAGCACATTAAACCACGGTCTGATTCATGCTCTGATAACAGCACTCCACACAATGCTTCAGTACTGTTTCTCTTTGTAGAAATACCCAAAAGCCAGGCATACATACTGAATTTACTTCTGCTGCCCAACTCCTCATCCTGATGTTAGTCCTTCACAGTCTGTGATCTAATTTTCACCCTAAAATTAAGCCTGGAAACCAACTTTTTTAAACATGTTGCTTAAAACGCTGGGTAGCGTACATGCAAATAGTTTTAATGGCGATCCATTAAAACTATTTGCATGGACGCTACCTAGCGTTTTAAGAACTGTTTTAGCAAGTGTTTTAGTGTTTTAGACCATCGCAGGGTTTCTGCAGCTTAAGGCAATTTAATTTAAGACTTTAAAAACAATAACAAACCTTTTTTTTGCCACTCAGAATGAAAATTATGAACAAATTAAACAACAACTCAACTTGAAGGAAAAGAAAGATAAATTCCTCTGAGTTAGAGATACAACTTAATATTTTTGAAATGTTTGAAAGATTGAGTTAAAACATTTAATATTAACTCAGGCCTTATTTTAACAGAACAAATTCAGTGCTTAGAAATAAATTTTAAGCACCAGCAGGATCCTTGCTAATCATCAAAGTTAAACAATGACAAACAAACAAAAAAGAAAGATTTCTGCTCTCTATTATGGGTCAAGCACTTAAAAATTGGATTCTCTATATCCTGTCATACAAATGATCACATCTCTTGTGAAATCACTAAGAATAACGATTTGAAAAAGGCAAAAAAAAAAATTAGGATAAAAGAAGTATTTTACTTACTTATGATGAATTTAACAAAAATTTTGACATCCCTGCTCAGTCCATACAGGCGACTGGCGAAGGCTGATAGTTTTCCGTGCTTTACCACTCAGATTAAAAAAAGTTCGGTTGAAGAATAACTGAAGAGGAAGGACGGACTCTCTAACAAAGGGACTTTTCCTAAAAACAATCTTTAAACTGCTGATTAAAGAGAGGAAACTTCTCCTCCCTCCAGCTACATCCACTCTGTTTTCCCCGTAATCAGAAGGGGAAACACAACAAAAGCTTCAAAACCAGGATTTACCAGGGGACAGGCCTTCTTCTAATCTATATACTTAAACTGTGGAAGTGCTTAGTGGCAAAAAGTCCACTTACTGTACGACTGAAGCTGAAAAACTAAAAGAGCTGTACTGACAGATCCCTTTATAAACAACGATAGACCTCCTTTGGCGAAACAAAACTCGTAGCTCCAGCTCCAGGGAGTCTATCGTTGTTTATAAAGGGATCTGACAGTACAGCTCTTTTAGTTTGATAAGCACACATGCAGGTCCAATTACATGATAATAAATAAAATTCTTGTTGAAGAGACATAACAGACTACATGGCCGTCTGTCAGCAATTAAAGTTTGCCGTCTTTCATGATTATTGTGACATCACTGAAAGGAGAATATACTGAAGCCTTAAAAACTGCTGTTCCTCTAGCAGACACGAGGCCAGGGCTGCCACCAAGGTGGGGCCAGAGGGGCTCCGGCCACCCCCCAAAATTTGCTGGAGGTGTCCCTGCACGAGGCCGGTGACAAATGTTACCGAATTTAAAAAGCATGTTCACAGCCTGTTACATTTTTTTTTTTTTTAAACAGACTTTGGATAGTTTCCCACTTCATAAAAACAGTGCTGATGATTTTTTTTAAACATCACTGAGTGAGTTATTGGGCTATTTTGAGACACAGTTGTTCAGATGAAGGCAAATTTGGAGCTTCAGGCTCCAACAAAGACCATGGTGATGACTAAAACACAAATATTCAAGCTTTGAAATGAACAGTCCAAAACCACGGAGTGGCATCATGGAGGCTACTGAAAGTGAGGACAATAAATGAAACTAAATTAAATCTTGCCCAGTTATAGTCAGAGTGACCAAAGTCTCTGAAAGCTAAAACACTGCCTTTTCTCTCGCTCCTTCAAAGATCAGTCTGAGAGTTAAGATTTGATCTCAGGGTTAAAGTTGGAATTAGGTTTATGTTTGGGTCAAAGTCTGGCCCTAAGTTTCAAGGGTTAAAATGAGATGTAAGAGTTCCAGGAATTCATTAATGTAAATGAATGATGAACATGCCTGTGTCTGGGGAAGGCAGAAGTCTCTCTAACAGTTAAAAAAGGTTAGCCAGAGTATGAGAACCACTCATCCAGACAGGCTCAAATTTAACAATGCACTTATTCAGGACTCACAAGTTTCTAGCAGATAGGATGAACAGCGGTGTCCTAATAATCTGAAAGATTACTTAGATTAGTACAAGAAGATTACCTTTTTACAAGATAACTAGTGTCTGATGTTGTTCTGCTATTATTGAAAGGGAAGTATTTCTAAATATTCTATAATATGTCTCAAAGCGATCTTTGAAAAGTTGAATAAGGAGTGTGACAAAATGTGAAGATTTAGAGACGTGCAAGAAACGAAGACAAAAAAAAAAGTACAAAAAAGGAAAAGCAAAGGAAGAAAGGACATGGACAGGGAAAGTTTATGACATTGGGAGGGTTACATGGAGAAGAAGAAGAAGAGAAAAGAACAAATAGAAGAAAGAAAAGGGAGACAGAGAAGAGTGTGAGTGGTGAAATAAAGAAAAAACTAACACAATTACAAGAGCAGGGTAGAAAAGAGCAAAGGAAACAGGAGGAGAGAAATGAAATGGGTCGAGCTTTCAAGATGAAAGTTTAAGAGACAAAATCAGAGAAGAAAATAATTTATGGGTAAACTAAGAATGTAGACATAAAGCACATCCCAGATTCTCCGATGAGATCCCAGAACAAAAAAGTAAAGAAGGCGATCACAGAAACAAGAGAGAAGAAATGAAAGAAAGATGGGCGAATCCAGCTAACAGTGAGTGTGTCTGTTATTTTCTGCAACTGATACAAACGTAATTGGACTTTATCAAACACTGACATTTCCCCTGAGACTCAAACAGTCACATAACACAAAATTAAAAAAAAAGAAGAAGAGAAGAATAGAAGCAGCAACAATACCCCAGTGTAACGAGGACTTTTCTCTTCTTTTACTTCATTTCTTCTCCAGTTGTTTACGGGGCTGTTAAACAGCTCGAGCCTGCAGAGTCTACGACTCCTCAAGCGTGGCTAATTCAACCTGGAGCAGCTGCCACACCTGCTGAACACACACAGAAACAGTAGTCAGAGTTTAAACAGAGGTGGAGTTAGTGAAATGCTGCTTACTTAAATAAAACATGCGTCATCCAGCAGCAGAAACAGCTACATGTTACTGAAACAGCAAAATGTGTTCAGTGAGCTGCAGTTCAGCTGTTAAGATGCTCTGATGATTTTACCACTAGAGCCGCTGGATGTTTATTTGTATGCTGCTGAAGAAAGACAAGGATTCCATTCTTCCTGAAACATTCATTCTAAAAGAGTAGCTTTGCATAATCCAGAGTTCATAATAATCCTCCGAGCCAAGCTCCCCTCAGTTCGTCCTGTGTCTGAAGCCCTTCGTCCTTTAAAGCCAGCTCTGATTGGCTGCCCCACGGAATCAGAAGATCTAAACTAAAAGTAGGTGGGGCTGCATACCAAGGCAACTATAATCAATAACTTATTAACCTTGCTGTTGTCACCTGGACAAATACGATCGATCAGTTATTAGAAGATGAGTATGAATCAGTGTTATTATCATCGCACTTTCATGATCTGTGACATTTCAACTTTAACCATAATAACCACTCTTGCTACAGTACATACAGTCTATGTCTTGAGTTTTAAATGTTAACAGGAGGCTATTTAGAGTCATCACACTTTCTGCTCGTCACACGATCCACTTATCAGCTGCACCTGTGTCAGAATTATTACTTTACCTTTAATTTTACATTTTTGAGTTGCTGTTCAATATAATGTAGATGATGTCAGTGAACCATAGACAAAGAAACGCTTGTCGAACATGGACAAATGAAGAAGACTGAAGAAGACTGAGATCTTACCTTCCTAAAACTCTTTTTTAACATAACCGTGCCGCAGGCTTGAGCCACGCTTCCTTTCTGTGTACAGTTCCAATGAGCTTGAAAGTCAATACCTTTATCCTTCAGTACAACTTGAACTCTCTTAGGCGGCTTTCTGTTCAGGAATATTTCTCCAGGCTTGTTGAAAGATGTTGGCTGTATTTGGTTGTCTGTCAGGATGATTCCCCACTGCTTTAATAATGTTGGGCTCTGAGGAGGCCGATCCATGCCTGATAGTGTCCCACTGTGTTTTTCTATCCAGGGGTGGGAAACTCCAGGCCTCAAGGGCCGGTGTCCTGCAGGTTTGAGATGTGTCCTTGATCCAACACAGCTGATTTAAATGGCTAAATGACCTCCTCAACATGTCTTGAGGTTTCCAGAGGCCTGGTAATGAACTAATCATTTCATTCAGCATGTTACCCAGGGTGATTTTAATGCTGTTTGGGATCATTGTCATGCTGAAAAATGATGGGATTCCATGGTCTATCAAAATTTGATGGTACTTTTCTGGGTGCATAATTCAATAAATTTTAAAAAGATCTCCAACATTTGGGGTGGCTGTAGCTCAGGAGGTAGAGCCAGTCACCTGATCTGAAGGTGAGCAGGCTCCTCCAGTCTACATGCCAAGAATCCTTGGGCAATATAATAATCCCAAGTTGCATCCATGGGAGTATGAATATAGTTAGGAAGCACTCAGTTTATAAGAAAATGATTGGGTGAATGTAGCATAGAGCGCTTTGAGTACTCTGGGAGAGTAGAAAAGTGCTATATCAGAATCAGTCCATTTATGTCACTGGCTGAAATGCTGTCCCAAATCATAACAGCACCTTGATCTTTTACACATGGCTGTAGACTCTGTCCTCCAGTGATTTGGATCCATCACTCATCAGATCTTCTGCCACTGATTTTCAGTCTGGTTCATGTGTACTTTGGCATACCTCAGCCTGTGCACCCCGTCACACTTCTTTAAAAACGCCTTGACAGCCACTGATGTCATTTCTGATGAGGCTAGATGCATCAGCTGAAGGGCCAGATGCATCTCTCAGTTTAACTTCATGGTCCTGTTGCAGATCAGTTTCCAAATGCACTACATAAAGTTAAAATTTTATCCCCCCCCCAATTTAGTTTCACACTGCCCATCTACATCATCCAGTGTAAGAGCTGCTATCTGCACTGAAAGTTACTTCAAAAATAATGTCGGCACATGAAGCTACACAGCAGTGTCTGATTTAACTGCCTTTATTGGTTGAGATGGTGAGATACAGGCCAGAACGAATCACAGCAGAGTAATTTGAGTAGGAAACAGTCACCCGGCAACTATCAACAGCTCCCCTCCAAATGTGAGCTGATGTTGACCTAAGAGTCCTTCAGTACTTTAGTTACACAGGAAGCAGCAGCTGAGCCACATTCATTCTTATCACACATCTGTTTCTGCACAAATCTGTGACATCAGTCGGAGTGAACATGAAAGAAATATAAACTTAACCACCACCACACCGGCTATGAAGTCACCGATTTGAGATGAGCCAGAAATCCATCTTAAAATTGAAAACATGCAGATGTGAATCTTCGAGCAGCTCCAGTTTCCTGCTCTGATTACCCATCAGATGTGTTAAATTCCTCCATGCTGTAAAACAACAGACATCCCCGTCTCCTTGCACAAACAAAACAGCCAAAATAATATTCATATCTCTCTCTGACCTGCAAATGAGTGCATAATGCTCTGCTGAGAGCTTTTAAACTACGTGTGGAAAACAAAAAGCCTGACAGCAGTCAGTGTTTATTTACCCACCAAACCACCCGTTTATGATTTTATTGAACATTTAAATAACGTTAGAGCTAAACTGGTACAGTCTGGATGAACACCG